TTTGGTTCATTATATTTCTTTCTTTCCTTTCCTCCCGTTTGGAATTGGGACTTGAGATGCTCCCAACACTTTATTCTCCCTCTCACTTAATTTTTCTTACATTTTCACTAATAATTACTCCGGAGTACGTCGTAGTAATTATTCAATTCTTTGGGATAAAATCTTTTCACACCAATTTTAGATGTCCAATCTCAAACCGAATCTCAAACTGAAGAGAGCCTTATTGTTGAGTCTTCAAATGACCTAATGTTATATACGAAAATTCACTATATTTTAGTATGATTTAAGTAAATTTATCTTATCAATAAACAGAAACTAGAAAAGTGTGATTTCAGTATTTCACATTTATACTTATTTTTAATGATCTTATTTTTGTAATCCTTTTTCTTGTGTTGCAAAAATAGAATAAACTTAACGTCATTCGTCATTCAGATAGCCCTCCATATATAGAATATGCTTATCTTTTTAGAGCGAGCCATAATAATCTTATCTTAACACACTGCAAATCGACATTTTTGCTGATATATATATAGGATTTATATATAGATAGAACTCATAGTATATATATGATAGGGAGTAACTCTTTTTTCTTTTTCTTCTTTTTTATTCTTTTGAGTTTTGAATGATTTTTTATGATCTTGATGATTTTACCTTAAACCCCTCCGAACTCTCTCTAAGTATTTGTTTAGTTTTGACTTTTTAAAATCTATCATTTTTAGCCATTGACCTATAATTAGATAAAATATACATTGTATATTAAATAGATAAAATATATTGTGTATTTTATAAAATTAATCTAATAAAATTATTTTTGTATCAATATCTAATATCATTACTATTTACTTTGTGATCAAAGATTTCCAATTTTAACTAAAAAAATCAAAAGTAGACAAGACTTAATTTCAAGTGTTACACGTGAAATCTTAATTTTTTTAAAAAACTAATTGACGTTGAATTTCAATCTCGTGACCTCTTAGTAAACAAGACTTCGATGTCATGTCAAAGAACCAACTCAATCAAAACTCAGGCTTGTGTTTTAGTCCTACAAACGTTTCTTACTCCGTATATTTTTACAATTACATTTTCACCCATTTTTCTTCCCATTTATTTCATTTTCATGAAAATGAGACTACACACACACACCAGCCAAGTTGTGCAAAAGGAGAGGTATTGGGAGGTTTAGCAGCATTATTATTATTATGCCATTTAATGAATGTCAGGGAAATATTAATTGTGAACCTACTCGGTTGGGTCTTAAAAGGTGTAACCGCATAAATACTTCGTCAGTTTAAAAAGAAAGCTCTTTTTTAGAGTTCTCAAAAATGTGTCATCTTTCTTTTTTTTTTTTGGAAAATCTTCAACAATTAATATTTTTTTTCTTGGAAATCACTTTCAACAATATAACTTTGTTTTCTTTAAATTTAGTGACAAATTAAACTAAGAACATTTTTTGAGGACAGAAGGTGTACATGTTCGGTGAAATGGTAACATTATCATGTTATCAGTTATTTTCTCCATTCTGTAATAATGATCGATTAAGAATTATTATACTCCGTATATATTAGATTTTGAATGAATGTAGACTTAAGTATGTCTACATTCATTCAAAACCTAATGTATTTAATAAACCTTAATAGACAATTATTGTGGAATGGAAGGAGTAATTTATACTTCATTTGTCCCAAAAAGATCACACAGTTTGACTTTTTTTTAATCTTTTGACGATAAATTGTGAAAATAGTATATTTAGTCAAATTAGATTCATTTTAAAATATTAATTTGTTATATTTAATTATATGAAACTATATTTGATTTATGGTCAAAATGTTGCACAGCTTAACTAAAAAAATTAAATTGTGGTAATTTTTTTGAGACAAGGAGTAGATTTTTTGTTGAATTTTTTAAATACAAAATATAGAAATTAAATTTTAGTTTTAGATCAATATCTAAATAAAATTTAATTAAAATAATATCAATTGAAACCCGTAGGCCGTAACCCGCATGGGCAAGAAGAATTCAATGGTATAGGCCGTATAGTACAGAGGGAGTATAGTAGTTAGCATTTTATTTAACACAATGTCATTTTCTCATTATTTTATCCAGAAATAGAAATTTTTATTGGTCAAAATATAACTCTGTATTTAATGTAAAATGTATGGGGTAGATGTTTGACAAATAAGCATTTTGGTTTAGTATTATGCTGAACAAACTCAACAAAGTATTGATTTGAAAATGTTGATAAGACCTAATATCCGCCTAATTTTTCAGGATTTCTTTACATGAAATTTGCACAAAATAACATTAAAATCTATATCTTTTTCTAGTACCTAAATTTTTTTCATTTACTAAATAATACTTGAACAATGTAGAGTAGCGGCAGATATTTATTTGAATAATGTTCAGTGGACATTGAACTGTGATACCACATTGAGAAATTAAAATATATGATACTATATTGAGAAACTTACTACTCGTAACTTGTATAGACAAACTTTATCCACTTTGTTGACCAACAAAGAAAATAAAATTTGATCTTGTAAATAGTGAAAGAGAACATTATTATTGGACGGAGAGAGTATGCTTTAATACTATATAGATAAATTTTCCCTTCTTTATAATATACAGTATGCATTTTTATAATGTTTCATAAGGATTATTTTGATGTATTTTTTTATACTCCGTAAATTGTTGAATGAACCTAAGCACGGCCGGCCTGAAAATGTAAAAAAAAATGAGATTGACCAATTGACAATGTGTAAAATTTACATGTTGCCTTCTAGTTTGTTTTTTTGTAGAGTATTTCTGTTTTAATACTAGTGCTAATTTAATTTCTAATAACTACTTTTATAACAATTCGATTATTAAAATATAAATTTTATTAAATTTAAAAATATCAAGTAATAATTATAATGAGCATCTAACCATATTGGACCCTAAAAACTTGGGAGTCTTGTGCGGGTTCACACCTTGCACACCCTCTAGGTTGCCCAAAAGCTGTATCAAAAGTTAAACGGAATTCAAAACAAAATGTAAAAAGCCTATATTATTTTCTCAAATGGATCGTAGAAATGAATCAAAAACGTGATTAAAATTTGAATATGTGGATACTAAACATGCAATTTAAATCAGGACGAAAAGGGCAGTATATACTAGGTTATATTTATGTTAATAAAAAATAATTTCATTTGATTTATCTTGAAAAACTTTCAAAAAGTTATTTCATTATATTAATATGCAATAGGTTAATAAAAAATACTCTTTAATACGAAGTATTTAAGTAGGTAGTAAATTATATGTATTCAAATAGGTCAAGTAAATGAGGAAAACTTCCTAAAAAAGAATGTCAATTTCATTGTTAAAAAATCATAAGAACATTGGTTTATCTGTGCATTTTTATTGATTATTTAATAAAATAAAATATTCTTGTAAACTCTTGTTCCAAAGAACTTTTGACGTAATTTTTTAATATGTAAATTTTGTTTTTTATTTCTACTCTAATCTTTAAATAAAATGAATTAAAAAATATCAAATTTCACTTCTTATTTGTAATGTGGGAAACATTTTAAAACTTTTCAACGTTATCAAAAACATGTTATTTCTATGTTTTTATTTCCCAATGTAAGATCATTGGTCATTATCAATTAGTCATTATTCAACTAAATGTCCAGCAACACTTGGACATTATTCTTCTCACTAGTCATTATTAAGTTTTATTTGGAGAATAAAAATGTTTAAGTATTACATTAAGAAATGACTTATGTTTTAGTCCTATTAAGTACAAATTTCACTATTTTCAAAGGATGTCTAACTCATCCCAAACTCGTTAAAATAAACCGCGCACTAGACATGTTATGTATGTGTATAAGTTTTGTCAAAAAAAATGTTTTGTGTAGAAATTGGAGGTTAATTACATGTACATGAAGAACAATCTTCACACGGAAAGCTACCTTATTTATTTTGGCTCTTTGAGTACTAAAACGTGCCATGTTTTTCTGGGACACATAGAGTGGTCTTCTTACTTTTTCACTTGCCCTTAAGAAGAAAAAAAAAAGAATCATGTTCTAAAATAACTTTCTCTTCTCTAAACAAATTCTAACAACTCATACATACAAGTCAACATTTATCCGAATCTCCGAGAAGTGAGAATGAGAAAGAGTGATATTAGGCCAAATAATCCACGTCTCCTATGACTAAAACCACCCTATTTAATAAATGAAAATTATCTCAAATAATTTCACATTTTCATGCTCTATCACCTTCACCTCTTTCCTTTCATTTTCAAATAGTTAAGGGCAAAACATATCTTTTTAATATCAATAAGGGCAAAACATATCTTTTTAATATCAATAAGGTGAATATAGCCAAATGATGGGTTGATTTAGCAATAACCTAATACTCCTTCCTCCTTCCGTTTCAAATTAAAGTTGCTTGTATACTATTCACACGATCAAACTTTATTCACTTTTTCCATCTATTTTCGTTAGTTATTTTATAAAATAATATAATCATGTCACCGTTTGTTTCATAGAAATTTTGATGTAGTTTTAAAGTAAGAAAATTTATTTTTGTCAATTTCACCTTAATTCTCAAATAAAATGTACTCCCTCCGTTTGTAAAAAAGCTTCCTACTTTGACTTGGAGCCAAAATTAGAAAGTATTAAATTAAAGTTGACTTCCAATTTTGCCCCCGATGTGATGAGTAAAGTAAAATGTGATGGATAGATTATTAGAGAAAAAGTATGATGTGATAGGTATGGTATGAAAAAGTAAGGGTAAAAGTGGTTTTTTAATAGAAAGTGGAAGTGTTTTGTTGAAAGTGTTTTTGAGAACGGAGAGAGTATTAAAAATAACTTCAGTCAAACATCGTAAACTGAAAGAGCCAAATTAGATTGGAAGGGAGGGAGTATTAATTGTAAGGCGTATAATTGAGAATGGAGGGAGTGAAAAGTACAAACGCGTCTTAAAATTTGATAGAAAGAGAGAGAAGTGTTAATTAATGAATACCGGTGTGGGTATATAGCCTTCCTTCCTTCTTCCATGCCATAATAATAACGCCATCTGAGCGTCCGCCATTACTGCTGCAACCAACAAAGCAAAGCAGAAACAGAGCATATACCCAGCCAACTGCACAGTTCAAGAAGAAGAAGAAGAAGGAAGAAGAAGAAGAAGATGACAGCAGAGAGAGAGAAAGGGCATGTTCTGCTGAGAGGAGGAAGAAGGAAGAGATACAGCCATGGCCTGTCATCATCTCAGAAACAAGTTCTGGCTGCCATGGCTGAAGCTCTCATACCTCCTCAACCTCATCATCATGCAGATGGTGATGATGATCCTAACAAATCTCTCTCTTCCTACTATGCCTCTTCTGCCTCTCATCCTCCCTTCCCTGATGAGGTCAGCATTCCCTCTCTCTCATATTCCTTCCGTTTCATATCTTTCTTCTACATTGACTTTTCACACACTTTGATTATTAACATTTTTATATTTATATAGACTTATATTAAAAAAAAATGATTTTCAAAACAATGCTTCAAAATAAAATCTATAAATATTGAATTTTTATCACGATTTAATGTAATGTTCCGTAATATATGGTCAAAGTTTAAAAACATTTGGGGTCAAAGGTGGAAGAAAGATGTATATAGGACAATATGAGAATTTTCGCCATATTTTATGTATTTTTAATTAAGATGTTCTTTTCAAAGGAGTTGGATCCATTGAAAAAAATTTAAAAGTTAATTATATTTGATAATCTCTACTCCGGAGTACTCCCCTTACCAGTTTGACTCTTTTTTTTTCTTTCAATTTTAACGTAATACTATGTCCATTAATTAGTATACTTGTGCATAAATATTATCCATAAGACAGATTTCTTATATTATTATTATTTTTTTGTACCCAAAGAGAACCACCAAAATCGGTGAAGGACCGGGAATCCTTACCAAATTTATTGATGGTAAAAACAACAAATTTTTTATATTAAATTTACATTATAATTTAAAAGTAACTGCACTTTATTTATAAAAAGGTGGAACGCTCATCTCAGGCATGCCCACTCCCCGGGCCCCACAAGATTGTGAGGGAGTAAATCATGGTATAATCTCAATTTGGTCCTTTCCCACACTCCCGCTCCCGGGATTCGACCATAGGATCAACGGGCTTAACATCCTCTCTTTTTGGACAATTGAGCTACCCATTCAGCCATTAATGTTTGTGAACTTGGACCAATGCAAAGTCAAACAAGCACACACATTAATTAAAAGTTGTACAAGATTCTCTTTTTGTGGTACGAAGGAGTAAAACTTTTTCTGTAGAAAACTGTTCATAACAAAACTACCATGTTGTATTTTCAAGCATAAATGAGTACTCTAACTTTCAGTCCTTATATAATTATATATTCAAGTTGTATTTTCAAGTGTGTGTGTGTGTGTGGGTGTATAAGTTTTGAATTATGATTGTTGTATTTTTGAGTGAATATAGATGTGTTATATGTACTGAATGACACAGGCAGCAGAGTTAGTAGTGAGGAGGTTCTTAAGACTAGGAGTGCTTATATTCAAATCGGTTCTGGCCATTCTATCAACCAGACTGGGCACTCTTTTGCTCTGTGGGTTTGCTTGTCTTGATACAAGATGGCCTTTCATTCACAAATTCCCCGAATTGCCCTTGAACCGCAGAGAAGCCCTTCTCCAGAAATGGTCGAGGGAAACTCTCTTTACGCCCCTGCGTACCGCCTTCATGCTCGTCAAGATTGCCTGCTGTTACGTCTTCTTCTCTTGGGTATACATTTTTCAACTTTCTTGTTTTTCTTTCGTCTTCTTTGGCAATACCTAACTGCTTTTTTCTGCATCTTTCTTTCTGCAGACTAATGAAAATTCATATAATCCACATTGGGAAGCAATCGGTTACCATCCACACGCCAACGAAGAAAAAGAAAAGGAAGGGGAAGAAGAAGGGGAAGCTCTCTCTAGACAACAGCACATGGAGAGGCCATTAGATAAGGGTCTCATCGAAACTGCGAAAGAAAACGAAAAGACAAGCTTGAAAGAATCACTGATCAAGAAAGGCATATATGCCGCCGAAGGCCAGAATTCGGACACGCTCACGGTGAGATGCGACGTGGTGATAGTCGGTTCCGGCTGCGGCGGCGGGGTGGCGGCGGCCATCCTTTCAAAAGCAGGCCTGAAAGTTGTGGTCCTTGAGAAAGGTCAATACTTTGTGCCGGAAGACTATTCAGGAATCGAGGAACCTTCCATCGGCGAACTGTACGAGTCCGGTGGAATGTTAACCACCACAGATGGGAAAATTTTGGTTGCGGCGGGAAGGACGGTGGGAGGCGGCTCTGCGATAAACTGGGCGGCAGCTATCAGGACTCCGGACTATGTCCTGGAAGATTGGTTTCTGGAACAAAAGATTCCCCTGTTTGGAAGCTCGGAGTATCAGTCCGCCATGGATGTTGTCTGTGAAAGGATGGGCGTCACCCAGGTTTGCTGCAAAGAAGGGCTCCAGAATCAAGCTCTCAGAAGAGGGTGTGAGAAACTGGGGTTAAAGGTCGATTATGTCCCCAGAAACTCTTCAGAGAAACATTACTGTGGTTCTTGCGGTTACGGCTGCAGGACTGGGGACAAGAAGGGAGTCGACGCGACCTGGTTGGTTGATGCCGTTAACAATGGCGCCGTTATCTTGACAGGCTGTCGAGCTGAGAGGTTCATATTGGAAGATATGGAAGGAAAGAAGCGAAAAAAGTGTGTGGGAGTGATTGCAGCGACAGGTGGTGGCAGACAGAAGCTAACAATTTTAGCAAGGGCGACGGTTTCAGCTTGTGGGTCCCTCTCGACGCCGCCTCTGCTTATTTCTAGTGGGCTGAGGAACAAGAACATCGGGTCCCACCTCCATCTCCACCCGGTGCTCTTTGCGTGGGGATACTTCCCGGAGTCCACGTCGGAAATGGAGGGGAAGTGCCACGAGGGAGGGATCATCACCTCCATCCACAAGGTAGTTTCCAAAGAAGAAGGCAAAAAAGAGCCACAGGCCATCATAGAAGCAGCTGCCGTGGGACCATCAGCATTTGCGGCTATGTTCCCGTGGACCAAGGGGGCCGAGGTGAAGGAGAGGATGAGGAAATACTCCCGGACGGTCTCCCTGTTCTCGCTGGTCCGGGACGTGGGGTCCGGCCAGGTGAAGAAGGGGCGCCAGATAAAATACACCCTAGCTCAGCAAGACAAAGACAACATAGCAGCCGGCCTGAAACAGGCCCTGAGGATTCTCGTCGCAGCGGGGGCGGCAGAAGTCGGGACCTTCCGGAGCGACGGGCAGAGGATGAGCTGCGGCAGTGGCGGCGACAAGCCAGAAGAACTGGATAGGTTCTTGGACGGGGTGTACACAGCCGGCGGGGTGATGGAGGTGGGAGACAAGAACTGGACGTTGTATTCTTCGGCACATCAGATGGGGAGTTGCCGGATGGGGGCGAACGAGGAGGACGGGGCGGTGGACGGCAACGGCGAATGCTGGGAGGCCAAGGGACTGTATGTGTGTGATGGAAGTGTGCTTCCCAGTGCAGTTGGTGTGAATCCAATGATCACCATCTTGTCAACTGCATATTGCATCTCAAACAGAATAGCCAAGTCACTTGGTGTTAGAGGAGGAGGCTAGGGTAAAAGCATATCTTTAGATGCTTTCTATTTCTAGTTCCTTGTTTCAATAATAAAGTGTACCCTTTACTTGATACACCTCCCCCCTCCCAAAATTCAGCTTCGAATCTGATTTTTATGGTCAGAGTTTGTAAGATTTGACCATTAATTTGAATTAAAAGTACATTAATGTGATTTGATATTGTTTTGGAATGTATTTTCAAGTATCATAGGTTCATAATGTTTATTTATGTAGCACTATATGTAGAGATAACAACTGGGTTGTTGTTGTAATGGTGAACTTCTAGCATATAAAAAAAACAAAAATCTAGTGCTTTTTAATTGTGCATAAGTAGAAATAATGGTACTAATCTTAAATTCCTCTATAAGACACTAAGGGTTTGTTCTTTTCAGCTATAGTCAAAAACTACTCAGTGCTAAGTCTGGATTTTAGTCTCCAGACTCTAGTTAAAATTAAAATGGAAAGAAGGGGCCCTTATTCCTTGAAAACAAGCCATCTAAAATGCATTATAAGTGCCTCTTTGGGATGGCTTGTAGAAAGCTCTTGAAAAATGTGTTTTTACCCTATATACTCAATGTAATACAAATTAAATTTAGTGACTTCCAATTTAGTAAAATCATTTTTATTTCAATAAAAGCATCAATATATCGCTTTTAAAATTTTGAGGATGTGCTTTTTTATCTGTTGCAAATCATCCCAAACAAGCTCTAAGAATCTACTTCAGTTGTAAGAAACAAATGAAAGACAAAACACATTAAACAAACTAAAACCTCATATAAAATGATAAGTCGGTATTCCCTTCGATATGAAGGAACACAAAAGACACAACGGTATATCTTTGCATTTCCAAGAACATGGACTCAGCCAAACCAAAAGGGGCTTTGACCATTAGAAAAACTGGGCTTATTGAATAATACCCCATGGAAAAGCACATCCAAAAAAAGAGTTATTTTTTACTGTTTGAGGCTCAAATTACATATTTTCTATTTACACATTTTCATTGATCATTTGATAAAATAAGATAATCAAAGTCACCTTGTGCTTCGTAGAACTTTTGTGGTAGTTTTTGAATATATATAATTTTATTTCCTTATTCTAAACCAATTTTTAAATATATTGAATTGAAAATAAATTCGGTCAAACATCGTAAACCGACATAGGACTCTTTTAGATAGGAAGTACTACGTTCCTAAGTTGCACTTGTTCTTGGTATGAATTCAGACATTTAATCACTCACCCGGCAATAAGCCAATGAAAAACCAATGAGATATATTTAACTACTTGTGGCTGCTTTAACTGCTTTCTCGGCTGCATCATCGAGATCTTCTGCAGTGATGAGATTCATGCCACTTTCCTGCAAACACAACATGGGAATATAATCTTAATCCTAGCTATCTAGGGGTCAGTTCCATGAGATTCAATGTCAATAATTGCTTTATTTTAACACTACAAATTCATTTGTGTGAGAAAAATGAGGCAAAACTGTGTACTTGTGTAGATAATCTTGCGAAAATGGGTCTACAAGAGAAAGGGTGTACCTTGAGAATCCTCTTGCCTTGGTCCACATTAGTTCCTTCAAGACGAACAACTACTGGTACTTTCAGTTGAACCTTGATAGCATGATCAAGTAGTCAACATTTCGTAGCAGAAATAGAAATGACAAAAATCTAGTTGTGTGATCCCAAAACAAAATAATACTCCCTCCGTCCCCAAAAAATGCTCTGGGTTGACTTTCACGGAGTTTAAGGAAAAGTGAAATCGTATGGTGGAGGTTTATGCAGAGGAGAGAAATCATGTGAGCCACTCATTTCTTTCCTTAAATAGAACAAGACATTTACTTTGGGACATCCAAATGAGAAAATCATGACTTGCTTTTCGGGACGGAGGGAGTATATAGACGGTATGTTATGACTAATAAGAGTCTAATAAGTAACCATGACATTTGTCTCACCTGTTTTGCCGCATTCACAATTCCACTGGCTATTACATCACATTTCATGATTCCTCCAAATATGTTTACCATAATTGCTTTCACCTTGTCATCTGAGGTCAAGATTTTAAAAGCCTCCACAACCTTCACCAAACAGATCAGTAGATTTAGCTTATTAAGGAGTCCAAACTCTTATCTAAAACATATCAGTCAATTCATTTGTGTGTGCGTGTGTGTATGTATTAGTAGTAATTCATATTTACAAGATTTCAACTTTTACCAACTACCACAAATAGACATATCAAATGATCTTTGCTGCTAAAGACATACCTGGCCTTCACTGGCATTCCCGCCAACATCAAGGAAATTGGCTGGAGTTCCACCATGTAGTTTAATTATGTCCATGGTAGCCATCACCAGCCCAGCACCATTTACCATGCAACCAATTTCGCCATCTAAGCCAATGTAATTCAAGTCAGCTTTTGCAGCTGCAACCTATAAGCCAAAAAAATATTATGAAAAAAACACAGACACAATTGATGACTGTATATTCATTTATAAACTTTTTGGGTAATCAACATGCTGTAAAGTGAATTATTCAGTTTCAATTAAAGTAAAAAAAGCAGGTGATACCTCACGGGGATCCTCTTGTGATGAATCACGTAGGGAAAATAATTCCTTTTGGCGGTAAGCAGCATTATCGTCAAAATTCATTTTTGCATCAGCAGCTACTAACTTTTTATCAGATGTTTCGGCAAGAGGATTGATCTGATCAAAAGGCAAGCATTAAAAATTCCGTAGGAGAATGCATGAGAAAAGGCTTGAGTTTGAAGGCTAAAAATATATTGTACATCCATTTACTAGAACAAAGAAAAACATATATTATTAAGAAGGGCCACTGAAAGGCCACACCTCCAATAATGTGCAGTCACATTGACAAAAAAGAGTGTACAACTTCTTCACTTGTTCAATTGAATCGTTTCTGTCAGCAACCTTAGGGGCCAAACCATCAACAACCTTTGCTGCATCACTGTCTGTGATGCCTTTAAAAACATCAATGGGTACCTAATAGGGAAAACGAAATGTATCAGGAATCATTAAATACATAATTATAATGAGAATAAAATAAACAAACTGCAATGGGTTTGAAAGGAACCTTTATAATCATATCAGGGAACTTTTCAGCCAGGTCCTCAATACTTGTTCCTCCCTTTCTGCAGGCAATTATAAGCTGCAAGGAAAGCAAAGGAGACACATGTGTACATCTTTAGATTACAATCAATATCAAAGAACTTATCCGGAACATCCTTTGAAAATCAATAACATGCAAATGGAGCTTGTTTTATTACGTACAGGACCAGCAGTTGCACGATCAAGAATAATGGAGAAGTACATCTCATTGACTAGTGACAGTTTCTCACACAGATAAACCTGCAATAGATGCAAATATAACTTCTTGAATCTCAAAAAAAGTTCCCAAAAATTAAGCATCTACAGCTTCATTTTCAATCCAAGTTACATTTATATCTCTGTATAGCGGTAGACCGTAAATGGAATATACTCACACACACACACACACATATATATACATACACTCATGGTAGTCAAACTCGCGAGTTGACTCGTACGATCCTACGAGTCTGAGGATCGCGGGGACCTTCCCGATCCGGCGCGGCTGCAGAATCGGGCAATCCACTAGAATCGTCCGGATCGGCGATTCAGATCGTAAAAACGCAGGATCGCGTTCAATCGCCGATTGTGAGAAGCCCAGACAGCGTCGCTTCAAAATCATCTTCCAATCTCGTCGGGAATTGCAATTGGAAAGTCGCATCTGTCGCGACTCCCAATTTCGATCGGAAACAGCTTATCCTCTTTTATTTATTCCCAAATTAAATTGGAAACCAGCGTAAATAGCATATCAGCCCAGCCTTATCTTCTATTTTTTTGGGAATCCAGACTTCTCCTTCCAATCGACTTCTAAGTTCTAGTAGCCTTCTAATTAAAACATTAAACACACACACACAAATATATATATATATATATATATATATATATATATATATATATATATAGTAGGATCTTACGATCCGAGTCACGATCTTACGATGTTACGATCTTCATTATGCTTATCGATCCTACGTAGAATCTAGAGTTTGACTACCATGCATACACTCCAGCCTCATATCAGTTATCACAGCTTGATCTTAAAAAGAAAAATCATATGGCACCACTATAAAAGCCTGTTCGTCGAGGGAATCGCTGTGAGTTGAGTGTGTTTTCATTATTATGTGAAGATTATGAAATATGAAAATGCTACTAGTTTCATGAAATTGAATATGGAAATATGTAGTATATGTCAAACCTTGCTGACAATTTTCCCTTGGGATCCAGTTTGTTTAGTAACAAGTATCTGCCCTAGCATCTTTCCTGGAAAAAAAGGAAACAAGCATTTTGACATCTAGTTTTGTTCATTAAATTCCACCATTATAATGTATTCAGGAAGACTGCCAAGCACTATGAAACATATATTGGGTCTTGAAGTACTTCAAAAATTTGCACTATTATTGGCAAGTGTATTCATAGCTTTGATTACCGAAGCAAATAAAAAACGGAATTGTGCATCCCTTCCTCCAAAGCACGCAAATAAGAACAAATGTTATTACATAAAAAATTAAAAGAAAAAAAACATGTGATGAGGATAGGTTTCAGTACTAAAAAATCACATCTCTGCAACACAAGCTCGTTGCTTGGTCCAGATTAAAAAGGTAAGAACAATGCAATAGCAAACATAAAAAGAAACACCCACACACAGGGATCAAACAGTCTAAAAGAGGCAGAGCTCAACCACTCTAAGTCCTCTACCCATTCCCCCCTCCCTGAAAATAGAAAGCAAAAAGAAACACCCACTGACAGATAATAAACAGTCTTTATCACCTGCTACATCTTCAGCTTGATCAGCCTTCGCGATATGAACACCACCTTGAAATCCATTTTTGAATGTTCCCAAGCCCCGTCCACCAGCAAGCACTTGAGATTTCACAACAACCTACAAGAAATGCCAATCCCGTAAACCGCTTAAACCAAAACCACTTGACATAATTCAGGTGACAAACATTGCTACAAACATTCAGAAGGCTCTTCAAAATTACCTCATTTTGATTGGGGAAAAATTCCTGAATTGCCTTCTTCACCTCTCCAATGGAGCCAATGGCTACACCCCGTGGGACATTGATCCCATGCTTCCCCATCAACTCAGCACCCTGTTAACACATGGCCCCATATCAAATGCATACGGAGTATTAAAATTCTCCCGAGATTATATGCCTTTCAAGGCAGCCCTAACGCTTGAAAAAGTTTAAATCCATTAACACAGACAGCATCCCTTGTCATCAACATTTCATTTTGAAAATTGCTGGTAAACAAATATGGTTCTAAAATGAGATTCAAAAGCATACCGAAAGAGAGTATATGCATTTGCAACGAGATTCACGCAGTTATAAACAACATATTAGAAGACAGAAAGATATAAGGAGTTTAAATACTCCGTAATATACTTGGTATTCATGGATGTTGAGGCGGCGAAGCTGTTGTTGTTGCCATTTCCCGGCGAGGGAAAGCGATCTTCCGGCAAGTTTGCGTAGCAATCCTCTCGCCATTTTTCGGATCCGTTAAACGTCGGAATCTATTGTTTTTAGCCCGGGTCGGAATCTATTTTGAAAGATTATGATAGATTTTTAAATTCTGTAAAATCAATGGATTATTTTAAATCTACGAAGAGTTAGATAGATTTTAATGTATTTTATGAGCAGGATTTTATAAAATTATGGAAAATTATTTATAATCCATCCATGGAGATTATGTTTTCCTTTTTTCCTTTTTTTCTTTTTCTTTTCTTTTTTTTCCTCCCAGAACCTACGCCGCCTCCTTTCTTTCCTCTTCTCATTATGTTTTCCTTTCTTTTCTTTTTTCTTTTTATTTTCTTTTTTTGCTTTTTCCTCCCAAGAGTTTAGCCGTGTTCTTTTCTCCTTTTCCCCCCTCCGTCGCGAACAGATAAATAGCAGGGTATCTTCGGCTGCAAATTCTTCGACTGCAAAATGACAGCGAACAGAGAGAAGAAAGCACCTTCGGCTGCAAAATCGCTGCAAAAAAGGTCCGGAATAACATCTTCCACCGCGAGATCTACTGTGCGCTGCAAAAGAGGTCCGGATCCAGATCTACGGTCTGGATCGACATCTCCGCCGCTTCAATTTCCTTTGCGGCACTGTTCCCGGCGTAATAGGCAAATCCTCTCGAGATGACGAAGGAGTCCATGAAGGAGTTGTCAAAATCCCTACCTCTGGCATGAGATTTGGGAGTGGATTTCTATTTATATGCAAGGGCTAAAAATCCATCAAAATCTACATATTTTAAAATCTTTAAAAATCTATCAGTTTTTGAATACCATTAGATTTAGAAAGATTTTTTAAAATCTGAATTGAATACATCTAGATTTTAAATGACTTTTTAAAATCTGAATTGAATACATCTAGATTTTAAATGACTTTTTAAAATCTGAATTGAATACCCACAGATTTTTAAAATCCAAAAAAATACTACAGAATCCCGATTGAATACACCCCCCTTAATTTAGGGCAGGATTTCTTCACCATTTCTCGTATTTATTTAATAAATTTATTAAAATTAAATCAGATTATATTTACTAATTATTATTAAAATAATAATAGTAATTCATAATAATGGTAATAATAATTCTTATTAAAATAATAAAGAAAATTACAATAATAATTAAAATATTAAATGTAATAATAATAATATCTAAACTAATAAATAGAATATTAATAAATAATAATAATTTATAACTACAAATAAAAATAATTAAAATAATAATTATTATCATTTTTATAATAATAACAATAATAATAATGAGGTTAATAATGACTGGCTTATCTTTAACAAAGTGAGAAATTAAAAGTCGGTTTTTTTGTAATATACGGAGTATAATATTTTCCATTCTCTGGCTAACATGAACAAAAAAATTAGTACTATATTTTTTTGCAAAGCGGGAATACAGCTTTTCGGGTATTCATTACTAGTATATTTTTATGTATACGTACTACACTTTTTCCAAAGCGGTAATACAAATTTTACACCTTCGTCTTCATGCAATCGTGAATCTCTGGTTTCCTCTTGCTATGACTGAAAGACTGCCTAGTTATCCGTCTCCAACATGCCATTCTGCTCTCTTATCTGGCTATCCATCCCTTGAACCACTTGAGTGCCTTTATTAGCGCTAAAGCTTCCGTCATTTGTGCAATGTCCGCCTTGCCCATAATGCGAAAAGCACCCCGAATAAAATATGTTTTTATAAATAACAACAATTTTTATATTACACTTTGTTTTTCATAACGACACTACTAACTGTTTTCGATAATTCACTACAAATTTTTCATGTGCAACACTATAAAAATATGAAAATAACACAATATTTTTTCCAGCAAAATGGCATTGCAATTTTTTCTAGTATATCATCCCAATTTTTTGTATACTACAATTCTACAGACAAATTTTTAGAGCTTCACTGTACATTAATTTTTCGACAATCCACTCAAATTTCTTTTTTGAAACGGCCCATCGGCACTTGAAGCAAATATACACTTAGAGTCCAAATTTGTGACACAAGTTTTGACAAAAATGTAATGCTATACTCCCATCGTCCATAAAAAACTTAATTTTAAATGTCATCTTTTTTAGTTTTGAATAAATTAAAGACAATTATATCTTTGCTGTTGCGATTTTTTTGGATTAAGTGTAATGTTATTTTTTTTTGTGACACAAGTTTTTTACAAAAGTGTAAGGTTATATTTTTAAAAAATTAATTTTAAATTTCATCTTTTTTTAGTTTTAAATAAATTGAAGACAACTACATCTTTGGTGTTGTGACTTTTTTTTGTATTAAAATATAAAAAATAGTTGAAAAAAATTCTTTATGTGATGGCAAATATAAAAAATGATGTTGGTTAAAATAAAAAGTTTTCCCATATGCATTTAAGAGAAGAATTTTCCTTAGATAAATCAATTCTTATTGGTTTGCAAAAAATAAATTTGTATACAAATTATTATGTTATTATGTTTGGTATTCATTAAGTAATTTATCCCACTGCCATTTTTCTCATATTTTTTTGGATTTTTGTTATAAAATATTGTCTTTTTAAGAATATAGTAAAATTGATAATATTGAATTAGTGGAATTGAAAATATAATTTTAGGAGACACTAAAAAGATTGAGAATATTTTTTTGGATACAAAAAAATGTGATTATTTATCAAAACTTATTTATTGGAATTTACTCACACATTAAACGAATGTAGTATGCTGGGTAGAAACACACACAAACACTCGGTACAAAACACTCTCAATCGCTCAATAAATACTCTGTAATTTCCTAATGTCTTTCAATCCAGCTCATATGACATTGTACATTTTCAATCTCGATTTCTGGAAAAGTGCAAATATGTTTGTTTGGGTTGTTTGAAAGTTTCAAATACTTGTTCTCTGCACTGACGGGCCGAAAAATCAGAAAGGGGAAGTGACAAAGATTATATTTTTTTAAGTTTCTGGTCGAATTTTATATTGCATTTCTTGGTTGATCAAAGGATTTCACTTTCGAGAGATTCGGAGAGATAAGCTATGGGGAATGGCCTTGACGTGCTTGGGGTCTACAACCGCTGCTCCCTTTACGCTTCCACCGGTGAATGGTATAATTTATTCTTCTTCTTCGTCGTCTTCATCTTTAGTTGCATCTCCTTTTTCTTTTTCTTTTTTTTAAAGTAAGACTTTATTTCACTTCAAATTTCATGGACTACCTGTTGGTTGGATTAAATATCATATTTCCCCTTTCATCGAGTTAGTGTTCTAGGGTTTTGTGCGTGACACTCTCCAAATAGTTGAAAGCTATGATTTTTAAGAACTTTTTAGGATTTTGGTGGTTTAGTTGTCCTGGATTGCGGGTTTAGAATTTGGTTTATCTGATTTCGGCATTACTTGAGATAATCTCAATCATTGATTGACAGATC